TTTTATGGGCTTATTAATAAAGTTCTAACTATCACCTTAGATAAATGCTTCTGCTAACACAACCGCAGCAATAGCTTAAAATCAAGACTTTGTCCAATTAATCCAACAATTTTTCATGTTAGATGTGCATGCCATATTTTTAACTTGGTTTGTAAAAGATGGTCTTAATTTATTTTCTGATGCTTGTAGTAAAATACAACATGCTTGTGGCTATATTTTCGTGCTCATAAACAAAGTAGAATTCGTGAATTTGCTCAACAATGTGCTAGTGCTGAGCTTCCATTTAGAAAAGTTCCAAAAGATGTTTGTACTAGGTGGAATTCTACTTATGAAATGCTTAAAGTTGCTTATGATTATCGGGTGCCCATCCAAAAAGTATTTAATATGCATAATGCTTACCCTGTTGATCAAATTGTTGATTCTGATTGGGATGAAATTAGAGAGCTTACTAAATTTTAGAAAAATTTTATTATGCTACAAAACAATTTTTCTGGTATATACTATCCTACTATTACACAAATATTATGGTATGTTTGTGGAATTTCTGTTGTATTTGGTAAGTATAAAAAAATCCAACTTATGCACCAGCCATTAAAGAAATAATTTTAAAATTTAAAAAGTATTTTTTCCCTATTCCCGAAGTTTATTTAATTTCTACACTATTTAACCCATCTTTAAAACTAAGAGGTGCAAAGGGTCTTGTTCGTAAAATTTATGAGAATTTAGAAATTCAAGAACATGAAGAACCATCTCTCGAAAATTGCCAAGCTAGCATATATTTTTATGATAGATCAATGTTTGATAAATATAAATCTATGGATACAACTAGTACTGTAACTGATGCTTCTACTTCTAAGTCTGGAGCAGAAGTTTTATGGGAAGATATGGATGATATAACAGGTTTTGATTCCTCTATTGATGATGAACTTGATTCTTATCTTAATCAAGGATTGGAAAATATTAAAGACGAAGAAGGCAAGGAACAACTTTTGTCATGGTGGAGGGAGCGTGGCAAGGCTTTTCCAACACTTTCAATTATGGCCCGAGATATCCTGGCTATTCAAGCATCATCAGTAGCATCGGAGAGTGCTTTTAGCGCGGCAAGATTTCAAATTGGAGATCATAGACATTCATTAGCGGAGGACAGTCTAGAGATTTCCGTCTTATTCAGAGATTGGATTAATTCAGAAAGAAGAAATTTTGGTTTTGAAAAACTAACCACTAGGGAGGAAGAAGAATACAATGAGATACTTACCACTGGGAGCGATGACGGCATGGAGCTCATGGAACAAGATTGCCAATTCCAGTAGAATGTCCAAGAGATATTATTGATAAGTTACAAAGAAGTTATATAGGAGCTTACAAATATTAGTATGATAATTTGTAATTGGCTACTAAGAGGCCTAGTTCAAACAGAACCCTTCCTAGAAGTGGCTGCGTAGATTAGGTGCTCTTCAAAAGAATTGTATTTGTATTTGAGATTTGAAAGTTCTATTAATAAAATAAATGGCTCTAAGAGATGAATTATTTTTATGATTTGTCGGTGTTACTTAATTAATTGTTAATACTTTGAAATTATATTAAATAAATTATAACTCTATTATAAATTTATATTTACTAGATTATTTCATTACAAGTCTTTTGTTTTAATATTTTATAATTCTTTACTTAGTTTTCTAATTTTCTTTTTAACATACTAACATAGTAATATTTAAGTTTATTAAATAAGTCAAAAATCTAGCCGTTGCAAACTTTAAAAACATAGTAATTTTCAAAAAACTAGAATTTTTTTTTTTTAAAAAAAAATACACTAAGGCCCGCGTCCCGTCCCGTCCCGCCCCGTCCCGTCCCGTCCCGTCCCGTTTGGTTGGCGGGACGGGACGGGACGACCGTTTCGTCCCGTTTGTCCCGTCCCGTTTCGTCCCGTCCGTCCCGTCCCGTCCCGTTAAAATCGTCCCGTCCCGTCCCGTCCCGTCCCGTTGGACAGCCATAGGATGGAAATTCAGAAAGCTGAATTGAAAAACAGAGCCATTTACTCAGGGCTCGCTTGGAGGCTATACCAGAATCCCTCATCCCTCTGGGCCAAGACTCTCATTGCAAAGCACTGCAATTGGAGGAATCCCCCTAAGAGATCTAAGCCAAGCACTTGGCAATGCATTCTAAAGGGATGGGAAACTTCCATAAAAGCAAAAAGATGGGTAGTGCATTCTGGAAACAGAGTCTGCTTCTTCAATGACCCTTGGCTACATAACCTCCCAGCAATCAGGTCCATAATAGAAGGACCTTTGACCAGAGAAGATATGGCCAAAACCGTAGCTTCTGCTTATAATCATGGAACCTGGGACCTCTCCACTATCTCTCTTACCATTCCTCAAAACATCATAAACTCCATCCACAACACCTTCTTCCCACCCAACCCAATTAAGAAAGATAGAATGATCTGGGGAATCACCTCAAATGGAATCTATACCACAAAATCAGCATACTCCCTCCTGGATAGCCTTCAACATCAAAGAGCTGAAAACATAAGTAACAATTACCTATGGATCTGGAAATTAAAAGTCCCTAAGAAGATTCAATCATTCTTTTGGCTACTCTTCCATGATAGGCTTCCCACTGGAGCCTTTCTCCATCATGTTGGGATACACCTAGATCCCACGTGCAGCTTTTGCAATCAAGCTATTGAGACATCAGCACACATCTTCTTTGAATACCCAAACTAAAAGCTTTTCTGGTCAGCGATCCTCTCAGAAAGTACTAACAACACCACCACTAATCTACCATCATTCACAGCTAGGGACTGGCCAAACACATGGGCATCACTCAAAAAAGAACGCTACAACAACATCATCAACTGGGAAGAACTCCTACCCTTCTGCTTTTGGCAAATCTGGCTAGCAAGAAATAACAACTTATTCAACAATAGAAAGGAGAGGGTTGACACCAAAGCTGCTATAGCAAAGGCAACTGAATATGTAACCCATTATGTTGAACAAAGCACCCATAACACAAATAACCATCTGGGTTAAATGGGAGCCCCCACAAACCAACACTTACAAGCTCAACACTGATGGAGCTGCAATAGGAAATCCTGGAAGGGAAGGATTGGGAGGAGTCTTCAGGAATGCAAGTGAAAATTGGCTACTGGGCTACATGGGATCCATCCAGCACACCGCTAACACTCAGGCTGAACTGCTAGCGATTCTGAAAGGGCTGCAAATTGCAGAAGAAAGACAGTTAACACCGCCGGAAATAAACACTGATTCAACTGAGGTAAACAGAATGCTACTCAATGGAAATCTTATTTTTGACTCACTTATCTCTGAATGCAGGTCAATCGTCCAAAGGTTAGGCGCCGTGGTGCTGAAACACAGCTACAGGGAGACCAACAGAGTTGCTGATCTACTGGCAAAGGAGGGCACTAACAAGAACCTTTTTGAAATATTTTTGTAACAGCAGTTCCTCCGGTGTTTGTCACACATGTTTTTTGGGCAGACATCGCAGAAACTGCTTTCCAAAGACAAATTATGGAATGTAATATTGATAACGATGGCCAGGCAGGGGAGGATTTAATATATCCACCCACAAACAATCCATTTGTACGCACTAACAGGTAGCTTATTTTAATATAATGCATCCCGTTTAACCAAAAAGACATATTTGATCGTGAATTTCCATTTGACAGGCATATACCTACACAAACAAATCAACAGTTCAAGTGTTCAACTCACATACTCTCATAATTCATCTTCTTCAGTTCCCTATTTACTGTGTTTATTTTCTTTACCAATTTCTATTTTATTTTCTGATTATGACTACTTATTTATAGCTTACTCGTAATCTTCTTAGGTGAGCCATATTTTCCTACATGGAAAGTTGACTTTTTAAAATATCATCGTGACATAAAGTATACTTGATTTGAACCATAACACTATAAAAGTGAACTATACTATATAGGCAATATCCAACCAGTTGAAGTCAAACTTCTATCATTTAGGAACACTTAGGTGTTTAATTGGAGTTTTTTTTTCTCTTAATAAATTTGAATTTTAGGTAAAAATGTAGATATAAACTCATAGTGGTAGCGAATCCAAAATTGTTGAGTGTCATAGCAAAATGAATGTTAATGATTCGTAAAACTAACTCCAACTTATTTGAGATTGAAACTTAATTGTTGTGTGAATCAAAGTATACCGTCCATCTAATTGAGCTTTATGGACTATATTGGTCCAACTAACTAGTTTTGAAGGTGATGTTACACATAAGAATATTAAGATTGAATAATTGGGAGTACTCATGAAAAGAAGATTAGTAGACTTGCTATGAGATAGTAACTTTTATTTACATGCCAGATAGATTAATTTTGTCTCTGTGTGACATACAAGTCACGAGTTTGAATCGCGGAATCAGTCATTGATATTTGCATCAGGTAAGCTGCCTATATCACATCACTTGGAGTCAGTGGCGAAGCCAGAAATTTCTTTAAGGGTGTTCAAACTTGAACTAAGTGAAAAAAAATTCCCAATAAAGAATGTTCAATATATATTATATACCTCCAAAACCTAATATTTTACCTATATATACTGTAATTTTTCGGCGAAGGGTGGTCAATTGACCACCCTTGAGAGAATGTAGCTTCGCCCATGCTTGGGGTGCGGTCCTTCCCCGGACCATGCGTGAACGCGGAATGCTACGTGCACTGAAGTGGCTTTTTTTCATAGATTAATTTTGTGTTCCCTTTCTGCTAACTCATTCAGTACGTTGTCAAATGTTTCTCAAATTTGACCATCTTAGACAGAATAAGTAATTATTTAAAAGTCCATGAATAATTTCCTATATATAACGTTGGAAATGGAGCAATAGAAAATCAACTTCAAAAACAATGACCAAAAAAAGAAGATGAAATTCTTATTTGGTAACTTATAAATCAATAGATTTTACTGTAAATGCTAGTATAAGTTTAAATAACATCAAGTACTTCAAAATTAAAACATAAGCTATTATTGTTCACCTGGTCCTCCATATGACACTAAATTCCCAGTTGCAACCCCAGAGTTTGGATAATCAGTAACTCTATATAAGTTTGGACTATTTGCATATAATTTCACTAAAATATCATCTAAAGACTTAGTTTGATTTTTATCTGTTAAGAAATGAAATTTCTTACAATATGCATCTTTTTTAAGGTTTCCAACAGGAAAATAGCCACTGCCCATTGGAGGTTCTGGAATTCCAGGAGGACTATACACAACTCCTCCATATTCAGCACTTGTTGCAAATCCTTTTAAGTTAGTAAATATTTTTGCAGGCCAAAATCCAACTGCTGTTATTCCAAAATAAAACCACCAATTTCCATTTGACATGTCCTGTATATGGTAAGAAAGGAAACATTTAGATAAATAACAAAAAGAACGGAGTTTAAGTTGTATGCGCTGACAAAAAAGGGCAGCCAGCTCCCGCTATGCGCGGGGTCGGAGGAAGTGTCGGACCACAAGGGTCTATTGTACGCAGCCTTACCTTGCATTTTTGCAAGAGCTGTTTCCACGGCTCGAACCCGTGACCTCCTGGTCACATGGAAGCAACTTTACCAATTACGCCAAGGCTCCCCTTCAAAGTAAAAAATAATCTATACAATCAGGTCCAGCTTACCCGAGCAATATGCATCGGTACATCAAAAACAGGTCCACCATAAGAAGAACCTGGAAGTTGCCCATCTAAAGGTATTGCAGTGTTTATTTGTATAAAACCTGGACATTGAGTATTATAACAAGCTAATTTTCCAGCCTGTGGTAGTTACCATTATCCTTTAGTGATGAATCGTGTATGCATTCACAGTTGGTGCAAGCTTATACATAACTCGAGTTGAAGGCAGTGAATGTGAAATTATAATTGTTTAATTAGCACAGATTGATTCAAGATTTAGAGTTAATGAATTCAAAGTTAGTGCAGAGTTATATATATATATATATATATACTCGAGTTGAATGCAGTGAATGTGAAATTATGAAGTTTGATTAGCACAGTTGATGCAAGACTTAGAGTTAGTGGATTATGTTAGAGCAGACCGGTATATATATAACTCGACTTGAAGACAATGAATGAGATATCGCACTTGCTGGCGAATACCTCAATCCACGTATGTTTGATTTTTGTAGTAAAACTCATGCATTGCTAATGAAGAGCAAAGTAAGAACTTACAGTCCAGCCAACTTGTATGCTGTCAATCCCATTCTGAACTTTTATACGACCTCCGCTATGTTGATGCCCGCTAAGATTTTGAGGATTATGCAAACTAATAATTGCTCCTGCTCCTGCTATTTTGTTTCTTGGACTGTATGGGATTTGTACAGATGCAAACTGAATGAAGCAATATCACAACATCAGATTGTTAAGTGTAGGTAAGGTTGCTAACTACAAAACAATGTAATATTAGTGAACTTAATAGCCAAAACTATAAGCGAGCAGACAGAGGCGAATCCATGAACTAGTGTTTTTTTAGCTTGAATATGGATAATAAAAGCAGACAAACCTTGTAGCCTCCTCCCAAAGGTTTGGTTCCGTCGGAAACAGTACCCTTCATAGAAAAATAATGACACATTGAGAAGGAAAGTATACAAAAGAGATTTTGAGTTTTGAAAATCAAAATGTTGTAGAAATTCTTGCAGAAAACTCACATTACCATCAGGAGAATCATCTCCCCCTCTCATTTGCGATGTAAGTCTCCGCCTTATTAGGTCTTCCTTTGTAGTTCTTCTAATAGGAACTGTTCCAACAGGACAACCTCCGCCTTCTAACTCTATGTTAAAAGGTCTATTAATATTTGAAGAAATGTCATCTCCTTGCAACATAGATAACATAGGTTTCATCTGCATCCAAAGGTAAGTGTTATGAGTTTCTATGTATATATATGTATGATATTTTCTTTCAAAAAAAAAAAAAAAGGGATTATACTAACTCGAAACTGTAGTGTACAGATATACCTGGGGATGAAAATTATGATTCTTCAACAGAGGATGGTCGAATGCAGGTTGTTTGTAAAAGTCTACACAATCATATAGTTCTCCATATTTGCCCTGCTAGTCAAATTGCAATCAGTCTCCAATCTTTATATATAAAAACATATCTCCCAAGACTTGAGAGGTTACAATTCAAACTGTAGTTTCACGAGTTTGAATCTCAGTAACAAGCGAAAGGCATTATTTTCATTTGTGTAACAACAAATAATAACCAAGGACATGTAGAATCTATAAAATTTGCATAAGACAAATAGAGATTGTACCTTAATAGTCTTGATTGCCGGCTTATTAAGAAGCTTTAGTTGGTTCTCTAACTCTAAGTCCTCTGCTTTAGACAACCTCTGTTCTGCTTCAACTTCATAATGGTTCAAAAGGAGAGAAATCGCAAGCAAAATCTGTACGATGGCTCTCCGATGCAGTGACATTTTCTACATATTCAAGAAAATTGTAAGCAATCTCTTGACACATTAAATATTACTCGTTTAAAACGAAGTATGTTTGGAATAATGACCTTATATCAGAATGCTCAAAAGTTAGATCCAACAACAACATACCCAGTGTAGTCGTACGAGTGGAGTTTGGGGAGGTTATAGAGTACGCAGACCTTACCCCCTACCTTTAAGAAGGCAGAGAGGTTGTTTCAGGTAGACCCTCGGCTCAAGAAAGATAAAGGGAAGGGGCAATAACGAACAAACCAATCTGAATAAAATCTCCAAGAATGTGATATGACAAACTGTTGTTTCACTTTACAATTCATTTAATTTCAACCAAATATATCATCGGTTATCAGCAAGTTATTTATAACAGAGTTGTGTCACAAGAATTACCTGATTTGATTCGACTCTGAACACAAATTACAGAATGAAGTAAAAACACCAAACTAAAGGCATCTATTTATACTAATCAAAAAGGGATAGGCTGGTTTAAATGTTATATGTGACATATGTAATTTGACTTAATCCATAAGAGAGGTTTGACTGCATAAGTTATTGGATTAGATCTAAAAAGAAAAAAGGTTTAAATTGCAGATCTCTAGTTTTCATCACAAAGGGAAACTCTCTAATGATTATTCTAATTCTGCTTGAATCAAATTCAAATGAAAATTTTCTGCACATATTTCCCTTATGTAAATGAATTTAGTACCTAATTTAGAAGATTACAACATGTTATATGGATTGAGTAAATCCATCATCACAAGTGGTCTTTTCAATGTCAATACTCAATATCAACCTTTAATTTTATACTTCTCTATTTCATAACAGAATAATCAGCCATTTCAGGTAGAAGAAAATGAAGACAAGATAGTTATGAGCTGCATCCAGTATATCTTAAATTACTTTTAATATTTCTTTAGTTTATTCTCCTCTTAACAGAAAAATATCACCAAATATGTGCAGCATTCACCGCTCAATAATAATGATACCCTCTCCGCTTCCACTGATTGTTCATAAACATGAATTTTTATCTACAGAGTAATGCTATGTGTCTGTATCCATTTATACGCATCACCACTACACATAAAGAGACTACATATAGGAATCAGTAACTTCTGTGTTCCAGCAAACAGAAGGGAAGCAGGTAGTTGGGCGTTTTTATGATCTTTACCGGGTTGTTTAGGGCTAGTCTGGTAGCATCTTGTCGTTGTTCCTAGATTGCTAGTATTACGGCTATCTCTTACTATCTTCCGCTTTCTAGTATCCTGTCGTGATTACTGCTTGTTGCTATTGCTTTTCTCCATCTATTTTTTTTTCTAGTTCTTACGTTGTTGTTATCGTTTTTCTGGCTATGTTGTTGATATTTGATTGTTTCTATTTATCCTCTCGAGCTGAGGGTCTATCGGAAACAGCCTTTCTACCTCCCCAGGTAGGGGTAAGGTCGGATACAGGATGGATTTTTCCAGGGCGTGTGAACTTCCTTATATATTCAGCCACATGTGCGGATGCGTACACACTACCCTCCCCAGACCCCACTTGTGGGATTTCACTGGGTAGTGTGTACACAAACCTTACACTATCCCGAGGGAGTAGAGAGGCTGTTTCCGGTAGACCCTTGGCTCAATAAGACGAAAATAGACAATATATCAGTACCATCAACACCTGTAATGCACGCATCTTTTCGTTAATCCTATCCCTTCTCATCTGTTTGCAGAAACTGAATCAGAATGCATTTATATCTAAATTGTCTTAAAAAGATTTACGACCAGAAACTGCAAAAACCACAGATGATGTGGTAATGGTTAGCTCACTCACTCAGATAAATTATGCACCTCTGCAGCTCGACAGATTCTTCTTCAACATCCTGAACAAAAGATATTTCCATGTCAGACTCAACATCCTAACAAAGAAGTAACATACTACAAAACATGTTAAAAGTAATGGCCTTTAAACAAATAAACTTACTTCACTTGGACACCCATGAATCCTCATTATCTCGGGTTTTCCTCTTTAGATTATGAGGCTGATCATTTGATCCTCTCTCTGCACTGCTACCAAAGCATATAGATGAGCAAACAACCCCATGTTCAGCATTTCTCTCATTATAGATAAGCTGTATCTGTCGTTGCCTTTGCACCTGTAAACTGACCAGGCGTGTTGTCACTATTACTCGAACAATCTCTGAATATATTATCAGACTCTTCAACACGACATGATCTATCGTAAAAGCTAGCTCCAGATGCTCTTGACTCGAGTTGGGAAGGTACCACATTAGTTGGATAATGAAGGTCATTTTCCTCGTTGGAACTTAAATAGTCTTCAACTGCTGCAGCACTATCATGATTGTGGCCAACTTTACTTATCTTTGCTTCTAAGGTAGATGAATCCGAAACATTAAAGCCGCCAGCTTCGCTGCTTTAACAAATGTAGCAGGTCTTGAGAAATGTGAAAAGTTGAGCAAGCTGGAGCAACTTCCAGGGATATTTTGCTTTTGGATTTTAATGCTTTTAACATCACCAGCAGAAGCTTGACTTTGACTTGAATCCCCATAAACTGAAACTGGAGTATTGCTAATTTTACTGCTAAAGATATCTGAAACTTCTAATTCTAGGGAATAATTTGTATTGGGAAAAAACTGAATTTATAATTGAAGGTGACGTGGCATGACACGTGGACTGGTCAAATGGTCAAAATATGATGATCAGTTAAGAGGCACGGGCAATATCAGATACGAGGAGAAGAAAGTTAAATAGGCACGAGATGCTATTCAAATGATACGAGTCTCGTATCTATTTAACTTAATTAAAGCCAGGAGGTCAGAAGGAATTGAAGATATGAATCTGATGGCATAAAGGAGTCTAAATTCAGTATTGAATGTCAAATACGTTAGCGAATCAGTATTGAATAGGAATGATTGTGTAACGTTTCATTTAATGTCATTTAATGCTCATAATTGCCTATTTAAGGCTAAGGCATTATACCTTTTCCTAGAAAAATCAACTATAAAAGGAGGAGGTCTCAGCATTTGTAAACACACGAAATATCATTGAGATTACATTGAAATACAAACTTATTTACTGCTTTATTATCCTCAAAAATTCTTATTCTTTTCGTCTTCTGATTATCAGTAACCCGATTTTTCCTCTTAATTTCTAGTTTTAACCGAAATTCTATTTTTTGGTTAAACAAATTGGTTCCGTTACCGGGAATCTGATAACAAGCATATCTCAATCTAATTTTCTTGATTGCATCAATCATGTCGAACAACAATGACAACACTCAAGGAAACCCAGAAATTCAGACAATCCAACAACTTCAGGGAGATTCCCCACAAGGCTCTCCACAAGATTCTCCACGAGGCTCCCCACGACGATCTCGTGAAGGCACTCCTGATGGATCTTATACAGATGGACAGGCTCAATTCGAAAACGTTGAAACCATGAATGAGGCTCTGCAAAAACTTATTGCCTCTCAAGTCAATAACGCTCTCCAAGCTTTTGTTCGCCAATTGCCTGTTGTTCCACCCACATCTGCTCCGAACAACAATACTTTGGAGAACCCTCGTTCAGGATTGATTAATTCTGGCAGCGGTGGAACCCCTAGTGAAACACAAGAGAGAGACCCAGGTAATCCAGTTAATTCTGATTTACAAAGTCTAGTACTAACCTTGCAGAAACAGCTTAAGGAGCAAAATGAACGCATAGAGCAAATACCTGGAGTACCGCCCGTGATCAAGGGTGTGGATATAGATAAATATTCCCAACAACCATGGAAGCCAAGCGCTGCTCCCCTTCCAATTCCAAAGAAGTTTAAGATGCCTGATATTCCAAAGTATGATGGTACATCAGAACCACGAGATCACGTTACTGCATTCACAACAGGTGTCAAGGGCAATGATTTGACTAAGCAAGAAATTGAGTCGGTCTTGGTCAAAAAATTCGGTGAAACACTCACTAAAGGAGCTCTAACATGGTATTCTCTTTTACCTGAAAATTCTATAAATTCGTTTGCTGAGCTTGCAGATTTATTTATCAAAGCACACTCGGGAGCTCAAAACGCTGAAAAACGAATGGAAGTATATCTTCAAAATCAAGCAAGGAGACTCAGAGTTGCTTAGAGAGTTCGTAGATAGATTTCAACGGGAAAGAATGACGCTACCACGAGTACCTGACAATTGGGCAGCCATAGCCTTTGCTAGTAATTTAAATGAGAAGAGTTCAGAAGCCACGAGGCGACTCAAAGAAAGCCTTCGTGAATTCCCAGCAACAACGTGGAATGATGTCTACAACAGATACAGCGCAAAGATGAGAATTGAAGAAGACATTATTTTACGACATAAAACAGAAGAAAAGGTAAGCTCAAGGCGTGTGAAAAATGAAAAGAGATCCGGTAAAAACAGGTACGAGCCATACATGGGACCTGCGGGAAAGGACTCACGGTCAAGACAAGATAATCAAAGGTACGATCACAGACCTAGGAACAGGGAATCAGGCTCCTCATCAAGGTTTGGGAATGATCGAAACACACGCGGGTCACGAGATGATGATGGAAGTTTGAAGGCAAGATTTGGTGGATATAATTTCAATGTCACTACCTCCGAGCTCGTACCTGTTTTGAGGAGCATGGGAGATAAGGTACGGTGGCCGAAAGAGGTGCGGTCAAATCCAAATAAGCGCAATCCAGATCATTGGTGCGAATTTCACAATGATCACGGGCATAAGACTTCAAAATGTAGATTCTTGCAAAGTGAAGTGGACCATCTATTGAAACAAGGGTATCTCACTGAGTTATTTAGTGAGAAAAGTAAGCAAGCCTACATGAAAAATAGGCAAGAACCACCAAAACCCCCATCACACAAGAGAACCGTGAATGTTATAAGTGGGGGAGAGATATTTATGGAGTAACATATACGGCTTCAAATAAAGTTTCCAAAGTAACAATCACGTACGGGAAGCGAGTGCGACAGACCTTAGAAGATGAAAGTGTCACTTTTGATGATGCAGATACAGAAGGAGTGATCACCCCCCACAATGATGCATTGGTAATATCTTTACTTGTACATGACACTAATGTAAAACGTGTTTCGATTGATCCAGGAAGTTCCGTAAATATTATACTACTAAGGGTATTACGTGAAATGCAAGCTGAAGACAAAATGATACCAAAGGCGCATACCTTGCCCGGGTTCGACAATTCAAGTGTAGTAACAAAAGGAGAGGTAGTTCTAACAACTTTTGCTGCAGGTGTTGTTAAAGAAACTAAATTTCAGATAGTAGATATGGAAATGGCTTATAATATGCTGTCCCATCAACTCTACATCAAGTTATTAAATTCCCATCTCCATGGGGAATATGCCAAATCAGAGGTGATCAACAAACATCTAGGAGCATCAATTCCGTTGCAGATTCAATTGTTAATGGTGGAGACAAATAGCAATCATAGAATTTAGGTGAGGGTAACATAGAAACAACCTCACCTGAGCAAAAGCAAACAGATCTAGATTCAAGACCTGATACCATTCAAGAACCGGAGGAGAATGATAACATCAAAACAACGATAGAAGAGCTAGAGGCCGTGGTGTTATTTATACATTGTCCCAAGAGAAAAGTGTACATAGGAGCTAATCTTAGCCCGGAGGTAAAACGTAAGTTAATTGAATTTTTAAAAGCTAATGCAGACTGTTTTGCTTGGTCCCATACAGACATGACAGGTATACCACCGGAGGTGATGACTCATAAACTAAATGAAGATCCATCATATCCTCTCGTCAAGCGAAAGAAAAGAAAACAAGGAACTTTCAAAAATAAGGTGATTCAAGAGGAAGTTCAAAAGTTGCTAAAAATTGGTTCAATTCGTGAGGTAAAATATCCTAACTGGTTAGCTAATACTGTTGTGGTTCCTAAAAAGAACGGTAAGTGGCGAGTCTGTGTAGATTACACAGACCTTAATAAAGCCTAGATCAGTTAATTGATGCTACTGCAGGGCATGAACTATTAAGTTTTTTAGGTGCATATTCAGGCTATAATCAAATCAAGATGGATCCAGGTGATGAAGAAAAAACTTCTTTTATAACAGACAGGGGGACTTATTGTTATAAGGTAATGCCTTTCGGTCTTAAGAATGCAGGTGCAACGTATCAAAGGTTGGTCACCCAAATGTTTCAAGAACATTTAGGTAAAACCATGGAAGTATACATAGATGATATGCTAGTTAAAACTCAACATTCAGAAGATCATATATCGCACTTATCTGATACGTTTAAAATTTTGCGAAAATATAATATGAAGTTGAATCCAGAAAAATGTGCATTTGGAGTGGCATCAGGAAAATTTTTAGGTTTTCTTGTTTCTGACCGTGGAATTGAAGTGAATCCTGCACAGATTAAGGCCATTGAAGAAATTCCAGATGTACTTACGAGTAAAAAAGAAGTTCAAAGACTAACTGGGAGAATTGCAGCTCTGGGGAGATTCATTTCCAAGTCTTCAGAAAAATGCTTCAAATTTTTCTCAGCTTTAAAGAAACAGAATCATTTTGAATGGAACGAAGATTGTCAGCAAGCACTCAAGAATCTGAAAATATATTTGTCAAATCCACCGTTGTTGGCGAAACCAAAGGTAGGAGAGAAGTTACTCATCTATCTTGTCATGTCAAAAGTTGCGGTAAGTGCTGTTTTAGTCCGGGAGGATCAAGGTAAGCAATCTCCTATCTATTATGTAAGCAAGTCTTTGCTAGATGCAGAAACACGGTACCCGGAACTAGAAAAATTAGCGCTTGCTTTGATTATGGCATCTAGAAAATTAAGATCTTACTTTCAATGTCATCCCATTGCTGTGGTTACTGCTTTTCCATTACGAAACATTTTGCATAAACATGAATTATCAGGTAGATTAGCGAAATGGGCTATAGAATTAGGTGAGTACGACATCACTTATCAACCTAGGACTGCTATAAAATCTCAGGTATTAGCTGATTTCGTAGCTGATTTGAGTCAGGGGATGCAATTAGAAGCTGAAAAAGAATTACAAGTTTTTAATGGTGCAAACCCGGGGACTTGGGTTTTATTCACTGATGGTTCATCTAACGTAAAAGGCGCAGGTTTAGGGATAGTTCTCGTACCACCCACGGGTGAAACTATTAGACAAGCTATAAAGTGTCATTCGATAACTAACAATGAAGCAGAGTATGAAGCTGTCATTGCAGGTTTAAAACTGGCACGAGAACTTGGCATATCACAGATTATAATCAAGAGCGATTCTCAACTTGTGGTTAATC